GTTACACCAAGTGCTTCCGCAGGACACTTAGAAAACTATAGAGTTGCTTTATAACTTTATGCATTTGTAGCCAGGCTGTATTATTCATGTTATTGGTATTTGCATGCACTTTGCCAACAGTGAATTTATCACCAGGAATCCCAAAGAATTTGAACATCTGTTTCTACAATAAACTGCACTATTCATTAATCTGGCCATGAGAGTTCTTAGTGAATGTGACCAAACTCCTTTAGGTATGGCTGTGCTAGTTCATGGAATGTGACTAGACTAGAAGTGTATCATGTTATTAATGCATCTGTAATCATGACAGTTCAATATATTGAACACGACTGGACTAGTAATGCCGAACTGGGTGTCGCTCAGAATCTAAGCCAAACCGTCCCCTGCCCCTCTGATACCTGAGAACAAGCTGGAATGCAGGGGGATTTATTTTCTGCCAAATGATTTTGCTCTTTAATGCAACAGCTTGTGATGGGAAGATTAGGGAGGTGGGGAGGACTAGAGAGGTGGTGGCACAGTCTTTATCTAGGCAAGTGTAGGAGCTAGCACAAACTAACACTCGGCCACTGCTGCTGAGATCCAGATTGAGGTCTTCCGAGTTCTGTACAGAGCCCTCGTCCACTGAAATTGAATTTGAGAGCTTTTACAGAATCAGATAAAAATTAAAGTTTGTGTGTGAGCAGTAAAGGTAGTCTGAAAAACAAGAATGGCATTTGAAAAAGTATTTCAAAATAACATTTAATATTACTAGAATTACATTCAAATGTAGTATTGAATACATTTAACCATTACTTTATGCTCCATATTTCAAGTTCTGCTGTTCTTTGGCAGTTACCTTCGTTGCACCTACTATTTTTTTTTTCCTGCAGAAAAAGTATTTAAATATTAATACTCCCTCTGAGTATCATGCACTGCTGCTATGCTATGTCAAAGCTGAAGTATCCAAAAGAGAAAGCCAAGCTAGGTTGTTCTGAAAACAAGCAAAGAACTACACAGCAAAGCAAAAGCATTTTTTCTCCTGTTCTTGACATGGAGTTCAGATTCATCTACAGTGAAGTTATTCTGCTTTGGCAGTACCAGTGTTAAGAGTACTCCTTAAGAATGCTCCTTTATGTGGATTTAACAGCAGTAGCTTAAGAAGTAAAATGATTACAGTTAGTCCTGTATAAAAAAGGATTAGTTAGGCTGCTAGAGATGCCTTTAGGCCTGTGGCCTAAAGACTGTGGTCCTCTACCGCCTAAGGGGGACTTTTTTAGTTAGAGCCTTTTCCTCCTTATTCACACTATTTATAACGATACAAGATCTGCTTGTATGCTAAATTTAAAATACATTTTTCTCATTAAGAATTAGATTCTGCTTCAGTGAAGGGAGTCTGCAAGTTACAAATATCTGAGGCCATTTAACGCAGCCATCTGCAGAACCACAGGACAATGGTAAATGTATGTGCAAAGGCAGGAGTTTATAGAATCATAGCACGTTAGGGTTTGGAAGGGACCTCGGGAGATCATCAAGTCCAACTCCCCTGCCAGAGCAGGATCACCTAGAGCACATCACACAGAAATGCATCCAGATGGGTCCTGAAAGTCTCTAGAGAAGGAGACTCCAAAACCTCTCTGGGTAGCCTGTTCCAGTGCTCCATAGCCCTTCCAGTAAGTAAGTTTTTCCTCATGTTGAGGTGGAACTTCCCATGTTCTAGTTTATACACGTTGTTCCTTGTCCTACTACTGGGCACCACTGAAAAGAGATGGGCCCCTTCCTCTTGACACCCACCCTTCAGGTATTTATAGACATTAATAAGATCCCCTCTCAGCCTTCTCAAGACTAAACAGCCCAAGTTCTCTTAGCCTTTCTTCATTGGAGAGATGTTCAAGTCCCTTAATCATCCGTGTATCTCTCTGTTAGACCTTATTCAGTAGGCCCATCTCTCTTGAATTGGGGATCCCAACATTGGATACAGTATTCCAGGTGTGGTCTCACCAGGGCAGAGGAGAGGAGGAGAACCTTGTGGTCTCACCAGGGCAGAGGAGAGGAGGAGGAGAACCTCTCGACCTGCTGGACGCACTCTTCTTAATACACTCCAGGATACCACCAGCCTTCTTGGCCACAAGGGCACATTGCTGTCCCATGGATAACTTGTCCACCAAGACTCCAAAGTCCTTCTTCATGGAGCTGTTTTCTGGCAGGTTGGCTCCTAATCTGTATTAGTGCATGTTGCTATTCCTTCCCAGGTGCAGGACTCTACATTTAGTCTTGTTGAAACTCATTAGGTTCCTCTTTGCCCAGGTTTCCAGTCTGCCCAGGCCTTGCTGAATGGCAGCACAGCTGCAGAACCAGCCAATCCTCCCAGGTTTGTATCATCATCAAACTTGCTGAGGATACACTCTGTCCCCTCATCCAGGTCATTGATAAAGATGTTGAACAGGACTGGACCCAGCACTGATTCCTGGGGAACTCCACTAGTTACAGGTCTCCAGCTGGACTCTGCACCATTGATCACCACCCTCTGGGCTCTATTGTGTAGCCAGTGCTTAATCCATCTCGCCATCCACTCTTCTACCCCACACTTCCTGAGCTTGCTCACGAGGATGTTATGGGAGACAGTGTCAAAAGCCTTGCTAAGGTCAAGGTAGACTACATCCACTGCTCTCCCTGCATTCAGTCACACCATTACAGAAGGCTATCAGATGGTAAGATCATCTTAGAAATTAGAAGGTTACACAGTCTGAGTCACAGATTCTGTTTTTAAAGTTCACTGGCATAGCTCAGGGGCAGTGACTGATGTCCAATTCCCTGCATATCTGAAGCACAGGCAGCCAGAATGGGACATTCTCTTTCAAGGGGAAGGATGACAAAACCCTCAGCCTAAGTTACTGGTTCATCACCTCCAGTTAACGAGAAAACTACATGAAGATACAGGTTTATAGTTTATGGGAGAATGTAAAACAAAAAGGTTTGATGGCAAAAAGTTGTCGTAGATTTTAATAGCTCATTTGACAGCATCTCATCAGGATTTTAAGATAAACACCCAAGTATGGAATGCAACCACCAGAAAACTGAAAGTAAAACTACCAAATCATCCTGAGTATTAGCAATGTTTTCTTTGAAAAATACTGAAGATATGTAAGTAATGAACACAAATATTTAAAAAATATCCTGGTCCTATTTTCAAGTCATACTTCAAAAGGCTAACTTTTCACTTGTGCTTATTCCAATAGTATTAGAGATCATGAATAAGTTACAGTAATACAGATCATTCACATTCTTAGTGACTACACAAATTACACTTCAGTCTATTACTTTGCTTAACTGTAAAAATGCATGTAAGCTATTTAAGTTTAGCATAAACCTAATACAATATTATTTTCATAGAGCATTACAGCATTATCATTGTAAAACATATTGTTCAGAGTTTCATTGTTTTAATCTGAAGATGAAAACATTATGTCCATAGGTAAAAAACACTGCAGAGTAGCCATCCACGTTTGGTGTGTGAGTTTTGAAAAAAATAAATCCCTGATCTCACAACCTGGTGACATTAAACTATACATGTTGTATGTCCTTTTTTAATTAGCAAAACCAAGAGTGGTAAAGCCCAATGCCCAGACATTTGCCTCACTTGTGATGCTCCAAATAACACAAGTAGCACGTACCAGTTGGCAGGTATATCTTAAAAAAACAGCTTCCCTGTAAGCAAAGGTGCTTAAAAAAAAAACGAGCAGACAAAGCTTTCCACCATGAAAAACATTATAAAATTCCCCTCCCAGACAAACCAGCATTGCAAATTCAGTCAGATAATCCACTAAATATGAAAATTCAGTGGAGTCTACCTCCTCATTTGAAAAACATTCTACTAAGCCTTTTGTTGTATGTGTTGCTGTGATGGTGGTTATCCTCTGGCCATCCAAAGTGTCCTTCAGACATGCAGCTGTGCTGTTTGGTTGAAGAATTAATCCCTCTTTCCCAGGTCCTGGGCAGTGGTAGCAATGCGGTTCCAAAAGAGGCTGCACCCTCAACATTACTGTAGTCACAACACTGTGATGATCTCCCTATCTCTTTTAACACCTAGGAGCAGCCAAATACATTCTTTTGTATAAAAAGTGTTCTTAAAAAAAACAAACAACCACCATCATTTTAATTAGGCTGTTGGTTTACAGCAGTTTATATTTTTACAGAATTATCTTCATTTAGTTGCATTTCAGAAGTTGCAGAGTAACCTTAGCCACTGAAAGAACAAAGATTTTTAATGTAAAAACCTGAATTAGAATATTTTTAGTCAATTAATTAAAATTAAAACCCCTCAAGTAATATAAATTACAAAAAGTTACTGCATAGGTTTGTCTTTTATGCATGTGTTTGTCTTTTATTTAGGAATCGCTAATTCTGAAGAATGCTATTATAGTACAGGCTTGAAATTACAAATATGGTAAGTCCGCAGCTATTTGCACCATGCTAAGCCTTATAAAATAAATCTGTTTGAAATGTAGGTGATTTGTTTAGAAGTTGATAAATTTTTAGGACAAACTAAAGAAAGCAGAAGTGGGCTTTAACCTAATCTGCAAACTGATTGTACACTGATTGACATGCAATGTTAGCTTTTTCTTAAATTTACTTTCAGAACACAGTTCCAAAAGCAGGTTAAAATACTTACTTGAGAAGTTACTGGATAAATGGTACAGTTGCTACTTTCACCAAGTCAAAAATATTCTTACTTTATTTACAAAATGTCTTTAATCCTTCACATTGAAAACAAGTAAAAGAATGCAGTAACTGTGATAAATTACCTCTAAATAGTACTTTTTTTTTTTCCCCTCACAGGAACTGAAGAATCCTGCTTTTTAACACCAAGTCAGAAGCCTGGGTTATTGAAGAGCACTCCACAACAGCAGCAAGAAAACCCAAAATGCAGTTTCAAAACTGGGGGAAAAGAGAAGAAGCATTGCAATGAAGTTTTCCCTTTTTTTGCTATTTATTCGCCACGAGCCAAGTGTCTGCTGTGCAGCTTAACTTTCCATGTTTTCCAGGAAGTCACGTTCAACACTCTCTTCAAGCTGCTGTAAGATCTTTGTGCCATTACTGCCAACATAGTCCACAGAGAGAGATGCAGAAGGAAGTGACTTCTGGGACTCACTCCTGTTTGCTGTAAATGCACAACACAGAGTCTTGAAGAAGGGCATAAGCTGGGTGATGCTGGATATAGAGTGGTACTGCAAAAGAGGACATTTGTCCTTCTTGGAAATTCCCTCAGTGTTTTTTGTTTCCTGTAAGCAAACAAACCGAGATTTACTAAGGCTTTTGCATTATGGCTTTTCTGAACCCTGTACTATGCACATTTTTCATACTAAGAGATCCACAGCCTACAACTGAATCACAATGTAGACTGCATCAGTGCTATACCAAGTTATTTCCATGTTCAGATTTGAGGTTCCATTAAACAAAATTCTCACAAGTTTAGAACCCAGCAAATTTGGACTAGCCTTCAGAATCAGGTATCAAGCAACAACAGAATACAGAGATATCTCTGAGAAATACTAATGCCCCTATTTCCTTTTCTGGAAGAATTAATATTAAAGCTTAATGGTAATTGAAAATGCTCTTAGGGTAAACTTTTTTGACACGGTCCAGCATGCTCTTTTTTTATGAATACTGGTCCTGTCTGAGACAAATTGCTTTAACTCGGTGGTTGTGGGCAGATGTAAGAGAACAATAGGAAAACTGCCTGTTTTTCCTTCACTCAGAAGCAATCTGACTTCTTTAAGATACACAGGAAAGCAGGCAGATAATTTTTAAAAGCCTCATCAATCTTACTGAGTGTCTAAAAACCTCTTGCTTAACTTAAAATCCTGTAACTTGTTTAGAAAATAAAGTTAAAGGATTAAAAAAAAAAAAAGGTTCAAGTGAAGTATTCTTTGTTTACCCCATATTTCATCTTCAGCAGATCCAGGATTCTTAAAATGTGTGGCCTGCATTCCTGATGATTTTCTACCAGATAAGAGGTCACAGTAGATGACTCGATGTCCACTTCTGGGACAAATGCCCATTTGTACCTGAAACGAATGGATTATTTGACAGGCATAAAAAAAAAAA